TATTTAAGGGGTTCGATATAGGCAATTTTAATGCAATTTTTAGAAGAATGAAAATTTTCATCTTAGATATTATATTTAAATTTTTTAAAAGTATACCCATACTAGAATCCATAAAGGTTTTTTGGGTAATAACGAGGTAATATAGAATAACAGTTTCGAATGAGACAAATTTAGGACTTTAGGAGAATATAATTCTTATATCAGATTTCTCAAATTATTCACACTATATAAAGGATAACGTTATTTTTATCATAGCGTTAATAAATTATTTGGATTGTCTTAGAGTAAAAAAAAAAAAAAAATCCTGCTACATAAATAAAGTTCTCTCCTTATTATTATGAACTTTTGATAAAGTTACAGAGAAAACTGTCCCCGTATATTTATCTCGTACAAAACCATTTTTATGAATACATTATAATATGGTCAATTATTAGTTCTCTTGGAGTACACATAAATATTCCAAAAATTAGAATTTTAGTAAATTAATTATAAATAATTCAAATGGGGGTGAGCATTTTAAGTGGATCATTTGGTAGGTATAGTTTATGTGATGAGTATATTTATTGATTTTGTACATTATTTATAGTGTTTAATAGATTAGTTAAAACAAATGATTATCAGATAGATAACATTACAAAAACGTTAAGCTGCTGCGTAACGGACTAAAATATAATATTTAATAACATTACATGTATAATATGGACAATGCATCATGTATTGAAGAGTGAGATTTTACTTAGATCGCCATAACTGTGAGAAAAAAAATCAGTACAAAGTAAAACAATTATCTAGAACAGAATCAGGCCAAATCATGTTGTGTAGGTCGCAGTGAACGAGCACAGTATCTATTCCAATTATTATGTAAAAAAAATGTCGCGGTGGACAGACTCACTGTATACCGTAACAGTAAAATATAAAAACATTATTATTGTAATCCTTCGCTGACGTATACCTAATTAGCAAATGTACGCGACACATATTATTGCTGCACGTGATTGCGGTAGTTTGCGTTTTAAGCCCGAGTAGGTGATATAAGATTATTCATAGCACATGTTTGTAATAATAATTGTTATTAAGTATCGTATGTACCTATAGTTTAGTAATATAAATTTAATTCACGCCGCATTATAATGTTTACAAAATCATTATCATTGTTCTCGCGAAAGTTGGAACGTTGAATGGTTCGATCTGCTGTTTACAATATTTATTACATGATATTATAGATAATACAACACAAATATATATTATTATTATTAGTATTATGTAGATAGTAGGTCGTGTTAAAGGTGGTATATCGCTGGTATCTATTTCTTATACCAGTCGAGAGTCTATATGGATTTCGCAATAATCGTGTGACAAAATCTGCAGTAAGGGGAAAATAAGTTGACAGCTGAGTTCATGAAATATTTGCGAGTATTATGTTTTTTTTTTTTTTTTTTTGTAAAATATAATATAATAATGTTGTATGGTATACGATACTACACTATCTATGCGAATACTCTCGTGTATGCGACTTTATAAAATGTAAAAAAGTTGATTTCACAAGTCGACCACTGAACTCCGTTCCAATACATTATACATTATACACATATTGCACGAAAATCAAACTCAGTTTTAGAGATGAATATTAATGTTTCAATTTTCCAGTAGTTTTCGGCTGTAATAATATAGGGCCCGAACGAAGTCGATTGCAATAAAGCTGCAATATCGTATTTCTGCGTATATATTTTTCTTTACGTTTTTGTTTTTTATTATATTTAGTTATAGTCAGTCTATTGTTATCTCACAATTCTCAATTGTCCCCGACTAATCCCTAACGAACGTGTATATTTTTAGTAACATGGTAGGTTCTTCATATTTTATGATCTGAAGCCAACGTATTACTGCATCTATGTTATGATCAACACGAATGTTTGCTATAATTTTACTTGTTCGTGTATGACGCTACCGATTAAACGGTTATTATTTTCAACGCGGTATTAATATGTAGATCAATTTATTGACAGAGAAGATATTGGTTTTATGATATTGATCGAATTTTATGGACTGTTATTTTCCACTTACAATAATTACCTACATTTTAGGAAATATAGTAATGCCATGAAAACATAATTTAAAATTATATTATATGATGGACAAAAGCGCTGATCGATATAATATAAACAGAAAATCATTTTTAAAAACCGTGTCACTGCGTTGCTTTATGATAAGTCTTTATTTTAAATCGTTCTTTGGGGACACTGACGTTTCAAATAATTTGGAAAGTATTTTTTTTAGGTTAAGGATATTTCAGTTGGGAATCAGACACTCTAAAAATACGCATTGTTTTCATTTAAAATTCGATACACATATCTTGCATGCAGGTCTGAGATCTTCTGACTGAGCGACAATTTATTGAAAACATATTACAATAAAAAATTCAACCAGGTGTATATTTTAACTTATGAAACGAACTATTAAAAAAAAAAAAAAAAAAACTGAATACAAATCGAAAACGACTGTAGTAAATTAATTAACGGCGCCGACTTATCGTCCTAACCATAATATGTGTAGATACTTTTTCAAAAGCTAATATCACGCCGCCATCGTATTGGTTTCGGATCATAAGGTAAGTACTAAGTACAAATATTGTTGTATAATAAGCGACGAAATGAAAAATGAAATAAAATGAAATTGGCTGCGCAAATTGGAAGGAAAAAATCCGGTGGTTTTATCAGTGTATAACGCAAGTAACGAAAACTGTTTTTTATAATAATATTACAGTAGTTGTTGCCGTCGAGACGGTGTGAGCGCGGGACAATAGGTTTTGGTCCGATTAGAGATCGAGTAATTCGACGTACTATATATATTTACATATTATAATACATATACGCACAGGTATAACAATATATACACAACGAGATTGAACGAAAGTGTTTTTATTTTGTTTATTTGACGTACAGGGTGTCCCGCTAATGTTTACCGTCTTAAATCGATAATAGTATAAATGCAAACACCGTTATGCGTATAAGATCAGTAACACCGTTTGCGAAACACTCTGTATGCAAACGAATAGCGCATAAATATATATATAATATATATTATAAAGATATATATATATATATATTATATATATTACAAAGATTTAACACAATACACATGCAAAGAAATAACAATCTTAGAATGTATTATAGTAATATCAATATTTTTTTTTGTCCAGTTAATACAACTGCAGATGACGATTTTCGATGGATCTAATGTGTGTGTGACGTGAGTGTACATGTTAAAGCATTCGGAAATAACGTAATATATAATTGACAATTATTATACGTGTTACAATCGCGTCAGCATGACAATCTAAACCGTAAACGCAATTACATATTTTTCAAATTGCTCATAATAACATTACACCAGTATAGAAAGAAAGAAAAAAAACAATAATTATTAAAGTGTTAAATATTTTTAGTTAAATAACGCAATAGGTTTTTTTTTTGACAAAAGCAAACGTTTAAAGTTTATATATATATATATATATACATATACATATATTATAATATTTGTCCATATATATATATATATATAAATATAGAATATAGATATTAGATACATTATATGTATACGAAAACTTATCGTTAAAATATTACTAAGTTTAGTGTTATAATACGATGGAAATAATATATCAAATAAAACATTATTATTATAACATATAATATAATATTATTCTTAATACGTAATATTAATTTAACTACAATGTATATTCACGTGTTCAAATGATAAATGATAGAAACATTAAATACTAGGAACACAAAACTCGTTATGAAATAACGTTGATCACAATAGTTTTTTTTTTTCAGGAGATTTATTTTCCTTTTGTTTTATATTAATTATATTTCACACCATAGGAAGATTTAAGAGATTAAAAAAAGATGACGTGAAACAAGAGTCAAAATGTCTGACTTTTATTATTTTCGAAAATATTTTACACAAAAGTAATTAATTTATTCGATCGGTGTATCTATTGTTCCTTACACGACCGTAAATTAAATGTAATAATTTTTTATTGAATTTCAATTATTATCTTTTATAATTTTGAAATCATTAAAAAAAAAAAAAATTTAACGCTTTGTATTTTTTTAATTATGCTCATGAATATTTAAATTGTATGTTTCTGTTAAATATTTGTTATTTTCTAATTGTAAGTACTGATTGATTTGTCATGAAATTGTTTAATCGCAAAGTTGTTTCATTTAAAATAAAATTAAAAATAATTTTTATAAGACTACCAGTTTAATATTATTTATTAAAAAGAATAAATTTCAATGTAACTGAAATTCCAGATTAAGCTCTTTTGAATTTACTGAATTCATAAACATTTTTATTTGGTGCCATTCATTAGTAAAAGTTTTTCTCTTATACCATAATAATTATAAAAATTGATCTTAGTCTTCTTTGGTTATAACACTCATAACTCATATTATTATATCTGTTTCTTGTTTATTCTTTTAAACATTTAATTTCTTCTGAAGGGATTTGTCAGAAAATAATATTAGCGGGGACTAATTTTTTTTCAATCCTTTAGGTTTCAGAAATGTTCAATCGTATTTTTTTTTAAATTTCATATCAGTAATTTTTTGCCCACTATACTGTGAAATAAAATGTTCGGACAAACCGAGTTTTTAATACCACCAGTTCTACTGAACCATATTTTCTGAAGCGATTACATAGAATAAAATTATTGCTGGCATTCGTTAAAATGATTTTTTTCCGACTCTTTATTTTATTATATTGCTTAACCATTTTTTATGTAATAATAATAATTATTTTTCTATTTTATATAAAAGACAAAACATCAATGTCTATCGTCGCAGATGTAGTGGGTAATGCGCTGCCGGTAAATACGGAAAAGGAGACCACGCTCAAAAGACTTTTTTATATTACGTTCAATATATATATATGTGTTGTATATTCAGAGATAAATGAAAACATTTAAAAGAAATAATAACATCACCATGGTTGGAGATTATATTTTAATTGTTATGCTTTTGATTTTATAATATTACGTTTATAAACATTTTAGGCAAGAGAATAATTATTTAGCTGTACAAACAATAATGTACATCTTACGTGATTTTAACCGTCGGCGACGGGTGATGTCATAATAACTATAATATATTATTTTTAGGTGAGCGAGGTGTGTAGGAATCGTGATGCACGAATCGAGTGCTTTTAACCGGCGGTGTTGATCTGACTGGCGGAATGACAGGATAAGGATATTATATATTATAATATACAAGAAGGCTGAACTCTACAGCTATGATACACATATTGTGATATTATATAATAATCAAATAAACATTTTTTTTCTTTCTTTTTTTTACGTTTTTCTTCACATTGGCATATTATAGAGAATGTACTTCTGCGGGTGGGCAACAACAAGAACAAAAAAAAAAAAATTACAATAATAATATATTATAAGATTCGACGTCGTTCGCCGGTGCACGTGTATACTATAATCATCTACGAAGAAACGGTGATGGCTGTGGAGGTGGTGGTGAAGATGGCAGTGGTGTTGTTCAGCTGTCTAAGGTAAGTTGTCGCAAGCCAGCGGTGACATGAGCGTCTAAGTCGGACGCATCGTCGGGCGACATGTTGGGGTGCGCGTACGACAACAGGAAATGGCACGTGCCCGGTATGTGTTCGGGAAATCCGACGGGCAGACACGATCGGCTCCTCTCCTCGAACGAGAATCCAGGAGTCTTCATCAACAGCCTGCAAATAGCGAGCACAAGATTGCGTTAATAATGTATTTCATATTACGTCATCATTCTATGTGCTTATGATGATAATAATAATATAAAATGGTAAAAGTTTGAATATAGCACGTTTTGGGAATATTTTTGCTACAAATTTACATCACGATTGGGTATATGCGCACACGTCTGAATAACACATATACAATACGACTACGCGTTTATGGCATGCAAAACTGCTATAATTTATGATTTTTTGGAAACGATAAATACTGATGAACATAAAGTTCTTGGGAACCCTAAATAATATTTATCTCTGAATAGTCCACGATTTACCGATAAAAGAATAATTATAGCTAACCTAAAAAAAAAAAAAAAAAAAAAATGGTTAAAAAAAATAAATATTTCAGAAATTAAATTGAAATTAAAATTTTAACCGATGGTAAATAATGAAAGTTTTACAAGAAATCATTTTTGAAGCGATTGAATGTCAACCTCTTTGTAGTGTCTCCAAAGTTCTATATACAAAAGCGAATTGATTTTCTCGTTTCAAAATTAAAATTAAATCGTTTGAAGAAAAGATATACGATAGTATTATATATTACATTGGAATATTAATATATTATTTCATATTATCATGTAATATTATTTATACGTTTGGATTAAAACTATATAGCGATATAATTTGAGCTTGTTTACTATGTAAATATATATAGTATTATAGCCTTTTATGAATTTCGGACGAATATAAGATGCTAAGTATGGTGGCCATAATATGGAAGCTTTTGACGTTTATACACATTGAAAGCTCTGAGTATTAATACCAGCGTCTATACAAACATAATATTATATTGGGAGACCTTTAATGTTAAAACGTAGACATATATTATACGTCTTATAGTACATAATAAATAATTCAAGAATTTGAAAACCATATGCAGGTAGAAGTTACCTCGATATTAATTTATCGTGTCGATAAGAACTGTTTAATTGCAATGTATTATATTATATAAAACGTGTATAAACAGTATATATATATATATTATATTTATATAACTAGATAAAGAAATACTGTATCATATGTATATAAATAAATTAGGTGGAATGACGGAATTCCAAGTATCAATCATTCATGTAGAGATTTATTCAAGTTGCGCGCGATGAAGCCGAAATACGCTCTGCAATTTATAAGGAATACATGTCTACTTGTATATACTATATATATATATTTATATATTTATATATTTATATAGAGGAAGTTATTGGAGTGTAGTCGGCGGCTGGTTGAAATATCCGTGGAACGAGCCTAAAGAATAATACGGAGAACGATAAAAAAAGGACAGTATCAGTCGTCTGTATGCAATAATATATGACCTAAGTGGACCGAGTGGTAAAATGATATCGAATTGAAAGATGGAAAAATAAAATTTTGCGTCTACGCGGGTATAAGATTTTTACCCGACAATTCGTGCGGCCTGAAGGGTAACGAAAACGACTATTTAAAGATACGGTATACACACACATATACAAACCATTTATTATTTTTATAGATATGTTTTATTTTTTACAACATTCAGGCCGAACCATTCGATTTATCAAAAAAAAAAAAAAAAAAAAAAAATAATAAATAAATAAATAAAACGTTTTACAGACATCTCGATCGCTGCTGAAACCGTAGAGAAAGAGAATACTTTGTACGGTTATACGTAGTTAAAAATATTATATTTTGTATTCATAAACCAGCGAATGTTTAAAATAAAACACCAAACAAATCTTGAACAGATGTTGAACTTAATTTGAGACCGTAGCTGATGTCGTTGGGCGTGGCTAAGAATTTTATTAAATCATCACGATGTATAAATTGTACATTCAATTATTGTAATAAATGCATATCGGTGTGACACATCGTACTATTATTGTAGATATGTGAAATCGCGATCACATAGTTCATATTATTCGGTAAATAATTTTATCTTTTCTTCCGTTTAATATTGAATTTTGTTTCTGACAATTCTAGTGAAATATATATATATTATATATATGGGCGTACCTACCTAATTTGTCTCTGCTGTCTTCAGGTCACCTATATAAAGTACTTCCACGACAATATTATATTCAACGATCACGTCATACCCAACCATGGTTAATATGAAAAGGAGTGAGTAGGAAATACAATTATAATAATGTTATAACAAACTTACTGGTGAGTAGTCGGACTGACGTTTATCCGGAGCGGTTCGCTACCAGACTCAAACTTGTTGGCGATTGTTACGTTATGGCCGAACAAACAATATCTTGGCATTTTTACGCCCACTACGCCAGCCAATATTGATCCGGTGTGCAATCCGATTCGCATCTAAAATTGAGACAGTGAAAAATCAGTTTACCAGTTCAAACTCATTTACGATTTTGCGAACGTTAAACACAATTTAATACAATTTTTAATCATATTGTACACATTTACGTTACCAAATGCACGCGCGCGCACACACACACACACACACACACACACACACACACACACACACACACTCATACACTTCTTTTAATAAATTATATGTATTTGCATTGCGATTACTCGTTTATACTTTGAATTTTGAACATTTTTGTGTTTTTGTACATAGTAAGCTGGCGGTGTTGCTGTTCTACAAAAGAGGACGAAAAACAAATTATGTCTCCAGAACTAGAGTTTAAAAATATCATCCTTTGAAAAACAAAACTGTTGACAGTTTAAATGTAAATAGAACGGAAACCATAAATAAAAAGAATTGTGATATTATTAAACAAAACATAATGTTAAACGAGAAATTAAGAATATTATTACCTATATCTGGCTACCTAGTACCTAAATAACCTACATAAAAGTAACTAAGCCCGAATAAAATATTTTATTTTTTATTTTATTGTGTGAAAAAAATAAATATATAATGGATATTGCGACATGTAAACATAGTTTTAATTTCGGTAACATATGGAATAAAGGTGATTACTGATTTTATAATCAATGATTGTAACGTAAAATATATTAAGTTTAATTTTAAGTGTAAAAACTAAAAATAGTACTTGAATGCATGTTATAATATTATAAAATAAAGTTATACCTAAAATATGAAAAAGTTTTAATGTATAACAACGTGAAATAAGATTTAAAAAAAAGAAAACTTTGGTTACAGTTTTACGACCAACATAGTGGGTCTTGGGGTAGTGGAGGTTCAAGATGGCTCAAACCGAATCTATGCTGGAATACTAACGAAAAGTATATAAAACAATTATTATATTAATAGACACGGTCAAACAGAGCAATCATATTTTTTTGTTATAAAATAATTTGTCAGAGTCGTATAATGTAAAAAAAAAAAAAAGAACTGGAAACATTATATCAACAATATAATTGGCCGATTAAAATGGATTCTTCGGTCGGGGTACCATTTCTATTTAGCAGTTTCATTTTACGACATCAATATACAGTTATAATATATATAATTTATGATATCGCATATATTATTGCAGTTAAGTATTTAAGCATGTACACAGTTTTAATATTATTAAAATAGACTTTAGCACCATTATTATGAAAACTATTAGTTTGGAGCATTAAAAGATTATGCGTAGATTTAATTTCCTAAGCTCATAAGCCCCGGTTATAATAAATTAGGTAGGTACGTTCGACGTTTTATAATAGTATGGATCGCACACAAACACCAGATCGCGTACCGCTATAGCAATTAATATCGTTATTGTTTTCGTGATTTACTGAAAAAAAAAAACGAACGTAGAGTCATATTTTTATGATGATGATGATAATAATAATATTAATAATAATAATAATAATAATAATATACACTAATTACAGTATGTTAATTATGATTTTAGACTGTACTTGCGGGAATTATTTAAAGGAAACTCGTATATTTAATATTGTTATACGTCGCGTAGGTTGACCAATGACCGCATAGGACCACGTAGACACCAATTCATATTATTATAATTAATATTCGCAGCTAATGTGGCGTAACGTTGAAGGTTCGTCTGAAATTTTTCTTAGAATTTTTACTGAAGTTTACAGTGCATTCAACATTATATAATATCGCTATTGTTATAAGTAGTCTTCGTTCGATTAATACACACTTAAATACCGAATTTAACGTTAGGTATAATGTTCATGCAAATTAAATAGCAATTATAATAATATATTGTGTAGGTATTTAACACTGTCCGTGGTCAACGAGTTTTTAATGTTGAAAAACGAAATTTTATAATACTAAGCCACGTTAATGTGACAATAATGTAAAATATGTGAAGAATTCGCATCCGAATCGTATACATGCTATACCGTCTCGATATTTATTATATAAATTTTCTACTATGATCTCTCTCTCTCTCTCTTTCTATATATATATATGTACATAGTGTATTACTCTTCCGCAATCTTTTGTGTTTTGCAACCCTATCTCACCGTAATCGCTATATTATACTCGGACTTTTACCCGATTTATTACTCGAACAGTGTCCTTCACTACCCGTCTCCCAACCACCAATGTCGACTCTTATTCCGCAAAGGTTTTCTGAAATCCCCGAGGGATACGTGTCCGACGTTTTTATCTGCCGCGGTCGAGCCGGCAGACAAAATCCACTATTCTAGTCGTTCAATTGATGTTGGATTTAATCTAAATTGACGTTTTCTAAGTACATATGTCCATATGTGCTTTAATAATAATTATTATAAACGAATATAATAATAGTATTTATGGGTTTTGAAAGTTTGTTCACTGCACTTGCGCGATTGTATATTATTTGTTTATTCATTTTTTACAGCAGTTATTGTTCGTCGTGTACATATTATTAAACTCGAAAATGCCACAAAGTCAAAAATAATCTCCTTGCGTTAAAAATTATCTTTGGCTTTTTTATGTCTATCTGTAACTTATTTCTTAATTATCGAGCCTGTTCATGGCATTGTTACCGTTCATGTGATTATATAAATCTTGTAATCTTGAGTTTTTTGTGAGTCAAATGTGAAAAAATCAACTCGAACGAACGAGCATTGACAAGTGTAACAATTACACATCGTATTTTACTTCTTATTGGTTTTTTTTTTTTTTTAAAAAAAACGTTCTTCAGCGCGTTCAATTATTCATCAGTCTTTTAGATTTAGGTGTTTGCTAAAGCCAAATGGGAAATAAAAGAGGACAATCTCAGAGTAGGCAACAAAATGTATTACGTATATACGAGCCTGTGGGGCACACGTGTTGTCCATACAAAACGAATAATTTTGATCCAATGGTCGATTGCAGTGTTGTATGGGCCGCGCAAGGAAACTCACGTAGGTACGCGCCATGTATTACATTATTATGATGTATATATAAATACACGAAGAAGAGCCTTCTCGTCGATATCGGACACGCGTTCTTGTAAGTTGGAAACAAACAGACTGATTTTTTTTTATTATACAGTCATTTTCCTGGTGAATTAATGTTTTTTTTGATAACATTTTCCTTTTTCTTTACATCACTTAAATAATTAGTCATGATAAAACAAATATCTGATCAGTACAGTAAATTAAAAATTATTTAATACTTAATTAGTTGTAAACATTCATATTATGGAGATAAGTGTATTTAAGTTGAATCTAAGGACGGGATACCTCGCATAATGTTGATTTACATTACTTCCCTCATCTAAATTTTATAAACAATGGTATGACTAGGTAATTAGTAGCTGACAGTATGTTTAAAATTTTAATTCGAATATAGAAATTTTTGAAAAATATGAAATTAAAAACGAATGTCATCATTGTTTTTTAAGTGAAAAAATTATGAGTTTTTTTTCAATAATGTCGTGTTGTGATGACGATTTAAAATTACAGGAATAATATGACGCTTGAAAACACAAAATATAAACTACTCGGATAATGACTGTTCGAGAATAGTTGTCACCGTTATTTCGTGTAATACGATAACACGGCAAGAGTTCACAGGTAGGTAGGTACTTTGCGGCGTTATAATAATATTATACTGTCGCCGGATGATCCGTGCGGATTTTTCACTTGAAGTCTGAAGATAAAAACAAAAAAAAATGATACCGACTGAACGCAAAGTCAAAATTCAATATAGCTGACACGGTATGATCGTGTAGTAGGTACATACGTGTTCAATAATAATGATAATAATAATATACGACGCGATATCATTATAACGATTAGAAGAGCCCGTTGTACGACGGAAACGAAACGTACATTACTCTGTATAATATTATAATCCAGTCGATGCGGTGTTGTCGTACAGGGATGGCGTACCGTACAGTGTAATATTCAGATATAATACTATAAGTTATATCTCACAAACAACATAAACAATATTCCTGTGCGTGTAATAAAATTATGCTCGATATCTGTATTATATTGTGTCCCCGCGAGACGAGAAAGACGAGCGCACACGAGCTGCGCATTGTAAATATGTGCGACGTATAAAATATTAAACCATTCGGCGTCGAGCCGATGTGTAAAAGGTAATACGGTTTTAATAGGTACGCAGAGACGAATCGTCGGCACGGGGTCGTGGGGTCCAGGCACACAGTTTTCGCGCTCGACAAAACGGAAACGGTGTACTTGCTACACTGCGGTAGATGTGGTTTTTGGCGTTTATCATATTGGTGCCTACGCCACCGCGTAAGGGCATCCAAATCGTGTAAAAAATTATTTCTATCGTTATTATTATTATTAAAATAGTTATATGCGTTTCAGGTGTACCGAGCATAGGTACGCGTATTTACGCGGCGCGACGTCGTAAATTTGGAAACAGTGACGGACGCCTTAAAAGTGCAGTGCCCATAGCAGCGATGTAGCTAAATGATCTAACTGAAACGCCGCGTTTTCACGCGTTTGTTTGTGAAGTACATTTTGTTTATTTTTTTTTTTTTAATAATACCATACTTGTGGGAGACTAAAGAATATTTTGTTAAGTTGAGACACTACACGTAATACGATAGATTAGGACTCAATTTTACGAAACATTATTTTACGCAATATTATACGCACGGTAATGAGTGATATTATCTAAAATATTATAGTATGGTATATGCGATTTCTCGATATAGCTATGTGTCACTAAATTAAAACATTTAAATATCTGCGCCAAATACACCGTTCAGGAAATTAATCAGTCGTAACTAATTCTATGTTTTTAAATCATCTGGGAGCCGATATGGGTGGATTTTTATATTTTTATATCGTGACATTCGGGAATTTATTAGGAACATACGTCACCATTACTCAACTTCCTTCTAACCCAACGTTTGCACCAGTAGAAACATTATTTAGTCTAAATATATACTCGGAATCGCAAAAATAAAAAATAAAAAATAAAAATTGTAACTTATTTTAACATTTTTAAAATGGCGTTTTATCGATTTAAACATTATTTTATTTTATTTTGAAATTAAAATTATAATTTAATATATTTTATTTATAAAGATTTTAATATGTTTATTATTGTCTATCCATATAAAATGTCAATATATTTTCGTTTAAAAACAAAATACAAAGTAAATACGCTATACAATGATTAAGCATTATTTTTAATATTAATAAAAAAATTAAGAGTTTTTAGATACTTCTAATCGTTTTAAATATTGATATTAAAAATACTTTAAAACAATACATATATTTTTAAATAAAAATATTGTAAACACATTGCAACCCTGAATTCACATCGCTTTAATGGTGCAGACTATAATATGGAAATACCATTATTATTGCGCTATATGTATAATATCATAAATTTTCAATTAAACGTTCACAAGGATATCAATTGTATGAACTATGAGAACAAAAAATAGTAAAATCTATCGTGTATTAAACATGGATTTACTCTGATCGGCTTCCCGTCGTGTGTATGATGAGTTTTACACGTTTCGATCATCTTCAGAGCCATCCATGCGATTTGTTGAGCGTGTATAGAACTGAACTTGTGTAAGCCCGAAGCCACGCAGTAAGCATCGCCAATCGTTTCTACCTGTACATGTAAAACAAACAAAAAAAAAAAACCATATGAAATTAATTTAATAATATTGGTTTTTCCTATACAAACGGTATGTGCTATAATGTAATGGTTAGACTTAGAAGAATGCAACATTCATATTATTTAATATCGGTGACTGTTATTTTATAAAATTCCGTCATTATAGCATGTCTGTACGCTATTGTTACTTGTTTTTTCCGCTTATTTAATTTAATTTTTTTCTTTTTAAGCGTGCAGCGTAAAAGACTTCATTTTTAGTCTTTTTAATATAAGTTTTACTTGTATATATTTTAGAATGAATACATTATTATGCTATATAATAATACACTGTTTTTTCATTTTACTTTTTATTTCATATTATTTTATAATATATTATAATATAAACAGTTTTTTAAAAAAACTCACTTTAAATAATTGTATTTAAAGTCTGATTTTTGTAATTTATTTAACTGGTAAACAATTTTCAATGTTTATAATATATTTGCACACAAATAATTTAAAAGTCTTATTCATTATAATATTAGTACGTTCAATTTAAAATAATTATATAATAATGTAGACGTAACACTATTGACCTTGACAACAAACGACAATGTGAAGTATGAAAGGTTTAGGCTTGTACATTTTTGCCAGATAATAATAAATTATATTTTACGATCAGAGCATCTACCGAGAAATTGTAAGGAAATTAGTTTTACTTCGTTTAAAAAAAAAAAAAAAGCTTTTAATATGTAAATATTGATTTATTACGATTTTTTTAGCGTTGTGATAAAAATTATGCAAAATACGAATTTATAAGTTAAATATTATTTAAAATAATAAAATGAGATAATTATTAACACGGAGCCAAGTATAAAGATTTACGGTTTGCTTGCCGATATTTAACTCGGTCTTGTACTGTTCGTAAATAAACATGCAATATTATTGTTTGTATAATATAATAATAATATTGTAACACTAAATCAGATTCGTAGGTATACTGGGTGGCTTTATAAACGTCAGTAGTATGCATGATATTACAATATACAGTCAGTCGTCCTCTTTTGCATAGAGCATTTTTGAATGCGAATTGTTTTTTTAGGGTTTGATCATAGTACAGCTTATTCCGGTAACGCGATGAATGTTTTCGTGCGAAGGTGTGTATCGGACGAGTCGAAAATCGAATACAAAATTTAGAAATCGGAAAGAAAAAATTGAAAAAAAAAATACAATGTTAATCCTCGTATATCGTCAGTAAGTTGTTCATTCACTAGTGGACTAGCGCGCATGTCCTCTAATTAAAGGGTTTTAGTATGCTGACAAACGACTCGATATGAAAAAATTATTATTAAAACATAATATTATGTAAGAAAAACCATAACGACTATCGTACCACACTATGGTTGCGGTTATCATTATGATAATATTGTGTACGCGGATAGCCGAGATCGGGACGCGTGCGGTCCCACCGCTCGTCGCCACGGTCTTTGCGGAAACAACAATTTTAATATTATTGTTTGTCAGCGTCCGCATTGCATGTAATTTAACAAATATAATATTGTGTTCACACGTATGCGATATCGCATTATATTATTTAGTCGATCGCCTCGAGACTAGTACTTAAACGTCTCAAATACACACCGTAGCAAACACTGTTTATCGTCCTCGTCACGTGTACCCATCAATAACGTACGTACTCGTAAGCTACAACGCGTTACAACGACGATCACTGTTACGCGCTCAGAACTTTTTGTCCGGTGGACGGTGTGAGTTTTTACCCAGCCCAGTCGATGCACGTTCGTTATAATTATATTGTTAATCCTCGGTCCCACTCATCATCGACTGTGTCTGCCTCGTTATGCGCAAGCGCAGAGCCACAAAAGTAAAATGCTCTAAAGATGTAAACACTGTTTTAAACATAAAATTTCGTTTAAAATAATTAATAACGCATAATACTGCGTAACACTATGCTATCGTGTTGTGGGCACTCTGTTTATTTAATGTCCTGCAGGTGTCCCGATTGAACGGTTATCACCTGTAAATACGTACGTATGATAATGTGCGTATTATAACGTCGTCTGTGTGTGTGGTGTGTGTGATTGTGATGTACCTATGCCTCGAACAAGTGACTATAATCTCGCTTTGATAAATAGTCTTGTCGTTTTTTTTGTTTCGATCGAAATGTATCATGTCCATCTTAAATTTAATCCGAAATAAATTGTTAGGTGTAGCGAAAGCACTATTTGCCGCACACGTGCGCACGCCCATGACAAATTACTATATGAAACTTAACAGACATTGTTTTTGGGCGGTCAGACAACATTCCAACACCCTCATTAGTGTGATGAAATACACTAGAGCAAAGTACAATACATAATTACATAATTTACATCAGGTGGGCACAATGCAGTTGTTGTTACGAGATTACAACAATAAACAAAACGCATCCAGTTAGTGCTTAATAGGTATTAATGATCAGTTTTAGTCGAAATATATAGTGAACACTGAATATTACAACGAACGATATAATATGTGTTGTCATAATTGTTCATACAAATATTTAAACTGTCGTAAAAATAATATTGAATTCAACAAAGAAAACTTTATTGTAAAGAGCAAGCTGTTTTTTTTTTTTTTTTTTTTTTTTATCGTAAATCAAGATGTTTAACGGTATAGTATACAATTTAATTAATATTATTAAGATTATTATTGGTTTTTTTTTCTTTTTTTTTTGAGGTAGTTTTGACAGAAAAAAAAAAAAAAAAAACGTGCCAGAAAGATCTAACCTTCTATTTTTTTTTTTTTTTTTTTTATTGCTTTCTGCTCTCTACAGTTCAGTCACTTGAAAACAATAAATTAGAATTATATAAAGAAGGTACTCTTATATTATTAGCTGCACCTAACCTTTTACTCGATATAAATGCGCTGCGACTAAAAATAAATATTTCACGAAAGAAACAAGTTTGGTAAACTGTGTCATAGCTTATATGTAAATATTTACGAATTGTTTAGATAAATTATATTAAATACTGACATTTTTCAGAGTTAAACGAAAGAAGTAAAATTATCTAAATTTTTGGTTACAATTATTTTAACATTGTGTTGTATGCATATGTTTATTAGAGTGAAAATAATAAAAAATACGCTTTCCAGCTTTGTATTATTTAAAAATCAAAGCATTATTATACAATTTGAACTTATCATGCAATTTATGTGCTGGTGAATAATACACATCGATGAATAATCGTACTATTTATTATTTTTTAAACGATTCCAGAGAGTTTAAATTATTATTCTGTTCATTGAATATTGCGATTATTTAAAAATATACTTTAATCTACTCGGTTTTTCGATACTCATAGTTCACAAATTACTTTTATAAAAAAAAAAAATCAGGATAAAAAGTGGTGTATGGCCTTACAAGCAAAGGTTATTTTTTGGTTTTTTTTTTGTTTGTACTACGTTAAAACTTCCTTTAAAAAATCTGGGTTAACGAAGATGAAGAGTCAAAAGTTGTTAAATGTTCACTTAGATAAAAAAAACATTTTTCATTTCTAAAAATAAAAGGAACGCATTTTTCGCGTACTTTCAAATTTTTTACGTTAATTCTCAGTTGATCTCGCAATATATATGTAAAAGTATACTATATTTATCATTATGATAACTATTATGGACGACTACAACAATTGTATAAAATGACAAAACAAAATACAATATATTTTTATATTATTATGTCATATATCATGAATTTTTGTTTATCATTTTCAACAAATTTAATGTTTGTATGTTTTATGGTTATTGATAATCCACTGACCCAGCAATATATTAAGTCATGAAGTTTTCATGGTTTCTGAAGTATATACATTAAATTGTTGAACAAAATATTGGAAAAAAATCATATTTATGTAAGTATACTTACCATGATAGTTTTATTAAAATAAAATGTACCAATTAATTATTATCCTCTATTATAGCTTGATTTTATGGCATACTATACCATGGCAGTATTCGATAAATTTGAAAACATTAAAAAACTTTTTAAACGCTGTTGAGCCGTTCTGATTAAGAGTTATATGACAATATTTTTTCAATGCACCATCAGCTGTTCAGCTTATCGAATTATTACAGGTTTGAAAAATACGTTTTCCATAGCAAATTTATACTTAATTTGAAAAACTATGTATATACGTATAATATTGATTTAATTTTCTAATTCTAGTTTACGTTTATGAACAATTTGTTCTTTGATAGCTTTAAATATTCATAATCAAAACTAATTATATTATTAATTTAATAATTTTGTGTACACTTCTTTAGACTCTAAGTTTTATAGTGTACACAGTTTAAACAAATTTTTGTTTTTTAGGGCTATGTGTGTACATTTTTATTAATTTGTTGATACTAATAAATAATGTAATAACACGAATATCATGAGTATAAAAGTTTCCAATCTTTTGATTCTCGTTTTTGTGAAAATAATATCAGTGAACAGCAACTAAAAAATAAATAAATATCAATGGGATCAATCGTTTAAAATAATTGAAACTAAAAAAGAACTATGAAAATCGTTATGTTGGAAAAATTATAATATTTACGGATAAAATAAAATACGTAACTAGTTAAAAACAAAACTTCTATTTCCAAATGAGAATATCTGGGTTCAAAAAAAAAAAAAAAAAATCCTATTAAATTAAACACAAATAAGCCGAATGAGAGTTTGTGGCAAAGGAAAAAATTCCTAATGCCTATGCATATGCATTTTGAGGTGCTGACTATTAACTTAACAGCGCAACAAATTTCAACCGAATATTAGGTTCGTAAAAAATTTTTATTTAAAATAGGAAATCGTACTAGACATAGAGGATAACATCAACATTTTAATTATCATAAATTAATCTGTTTAATTAAATTTGAAAAAAAAAGTATAGTGGACGAAATATTATTTAAGATCGATAAAACAATATTAATAAAAAGAATAAAATTACCTTCACCAGTTACTAAAGTAATCACATTTA